GCTCCCGGCCCACAGCCGCTCCCGAGCCCACCCCGGGCGGCCTGAGCGGGTCCCACCGGGTCTGGCTGGGTCTGAGGGGGTCCCACCGGGTCTGAGCGGGTCCTACGGGGTCTGAGCAGGTCTCACCAAGTCCGAGCTGGGTCTTACCGGGCCTGGCTGGGTCTGAGAGGGTCCCACTGGGTCTTACCGGGTCTATGCAGGTCTGGCTGGGTCCCACCGGGTCTGGCTGGGTCTGAGCAGGTGTCACTGTGTCCGAGCGGGTTCCCCCAGGTCTGGCTGGGTCGGGCTGGGTCCCCCCGGGTCCCCCCCTGGTCCGGCCGGCTCTGGCCAGTTCTCATGGCCGTGTCCGGTTCTCCCGGCTCTCTCCGGTTCTCCCGGCTCTCTCCGGTTCTCACGGCTCTCTCCGGTTCTCCCGGCTCTCTCCGGTTCTCACGGCTCTCTCCGGTTCTCACGGCTCTCTCCGGTCCCCGCTGTCCCGGCAGGAGGCTGACGGGACCCTGGACTGCATCAGCATGGCCCTGACGTGCACCTTCAACCGCTGGGGCACGCTGCTGGCCGTGGGCTGCAACGACGGCAGGATCGTCATCTGGGACTTCCTGACCCGCGGCATCGCCAAGATCATCAGCGCCCACATCCACCCCGTCTGCTCCCTGTGGTGAGCCCGGAATCCTCGGGGATTCAAGGGAATTCCATCCAGGGAATCCTCAGGGAATTCCATCCAGGGAATTCCAGCCAGGGAATTACATCCAGGGAATTCCTTCCAGGGAATCCCCAGGGAATTCCAGCCAGGGAATCCTCAGGGAGTTACATCCAGGGAGTTCCATCCAGGGAATCCCCAGGGAATTCCAGCCAGGGAATCCCCAGGGAATTACATCCAGGGAATCCCCAGGGAATTCCATCCAGGGAATCCCTAGGGAATTACATCCAGGGAATTCCAGCCAGGGAATTCCAGCCAGGGAATTCCTTCCAGGGAATCCCCAGGGAATTCCAGCCAGGGAATCCTCAGGGAATTCCATCCAGGGAATCCCCAGGGAATCCTCAGGGAATCCCCAAGGAATTACATCCAGGGAATTCCATCCAGGAATAACTTCCCTGGGAATTCCCAAGCTCCTTTCCCCCTCCAGCCCCGTTTAACCCTTCCAAGGAATAACTTCCCGGGAATTCCCTCCCTGTGCCGCAGCTGGAGCCGGGACGGGCACAAGCTGGTGAGTGCCTCCACCGACAACATCGTGTCTCAGTGGGACGTGCTGTCCGGGGACTGCGACCAGCGCTTCCGCTTCCCCTCGCCCATCCTCAAAGTGCAGTACCACCCCCGCGACCAGTAAGTGCCTCCCGCTGCCCCCCCGCCTTTCTGGGATGGCAGAAACTCCTGGGAATTGCCGTGGGAATGTCTCCTTGGGTGTCAAATCCCTGCACAAACTCGGAGGAGGGAGGGAGGTTAAAATCCAGCTGAAATTGGTTTTGCTGTCTGAGTACTGAAAATGAGACGGCAAAAACAGGAGTATCCTGAATTCCTCATTCCAGCTGAATGTTTTTATGCTGGAAATCCCGGATACCCTGAACTCCTGGACGCTTTTTTGTCACTCTGCACCTGGAGCTCCCTTTCCAGAGGCAGCCATTCCCAGTTTCCCGTGTTTGGCAGGAACAGGGTGCTGGTGTGTCCCATGAAGTCGGCCCCGGTGATGCTGACGCTCTCCGACTCCAAGCACGTGGTGCTGCCCGTGGACGACGACTCCGACCTCAACGTGGTGGCGTCGTTTGACCGGAGAGGGGAATACATCTACACCGGGAACGCCAAGGGCAAGGTCAGCCCCGCTCCCTGGGCCCCTCTGGGAATTGCCCTCTGGAAAAGGGGAGGGGCTCAGGCTGTGGAAGTGATCAGGGAGGTTTGGGGTGTCCGAGGAATTCCTGGGGGCGCTCGGTGCTCCGGGTGGGGATTGATGGGTGAGGGGCACAGGGAGGGGTTTGGGAACAGGTCAGGGGCACAGGAGGGGTTTTGGGAACAGGAATGGATTTAGGGAAGAGGTCAAGGGCACAGGGATGGGATTGGGAAGAGGAGAGGGGCACAGGGATGGATTTGGGGAACAGGAATAGATTTAGGGAAGAGGTGAGGCTGCAGGGATGTGTTTGGGAAAAGGAGAGGGGCACAGGGATGGATTTGGGAACAGGGACAGGCACAGGCATGGGGAACAGGGACAGGTGCAGAGGTGGCTGCAGGGTTTGGGGAACAGGTGAGGGATTTCTTGATGATCCTGGAGGGGTTTTCCAACCTCAGGAATTCTGGGATCTTTGTCTGATTCTGTTTTTGACGCGTTTTTGGGATGTTTTCCTGGCGTTTGTGTCTCAGCAGCTCCCGCAGTGTCCCCGGGTGGGCTCCCAGGGCTCTGTTTCAGGTGAAGCCACTGATTGTTCTCTGTCTGCTCAATCTTCAGATCTTGGTCTTAAAAACAGACACTCAGGATCTTGTTGCTTCCTTCAGAGTGACCACAGGGACCAGCAACACCACGGCCATTAAATCCATCGAGTTCGCCCGCAAAGGGAGGTGAGCGCCTCCGGGGCCGATCCCAAACCCGCAGGGAGCTGCTCGCAGCCCCCGGCTCCTCCACGGGATGGGATCTTTAACAGCTTCTCATGGATTCATCCCCGTTTTCCTGCAGCTGCTTCCTGATCAACACGGCCGACCGGATCATCCGCGTGTACGACGGGCGGGAGATCCTCACCTGCGGGCGCGACGGCGAGCCCGAGCCCATGCAGAAGCTGCAGGACCTCGTCAACAGGTGAGGGAACGGGGAGGGAGTGGGATCAGGGAGGGGTTTGGGATCAGGGAGGGGTTTGGGATCAGGGAGGGAACAGGAACAGGGTTTGGGATCAGAGAGGGGTTTGGGATCAGGGAGGGAACAGCGTTTGGGATCAGAGAGGGGTTCGGAATCAGGATGGATTTAGGGAAGAGGTGAGGGTCACAAGGAGGGATTTGGGAACAGGAATGGATTTAGGGAACGGGTGAGGGCACAGGGAGGGATTTGGGGAACAGGGACAGGCACAGGGATGGCTGCAGGATTTGGGGCACAGGGATGGCTGCTTTTCCCTGGCTGCTCAGCCACTGGAAAAGGCTTCCCATGGAATTGTCAGACCCCAAAGGCAGCGAGAGGTTTTGGCACAGGGTGGGGATTCTGGGGGCCTGTGCAGGGCTGGGGGTTGGATCAATGATCCTGATGGCTCTTCATCCACTCGGGATATTCCCTACCCCATGTGGCCTGGGGACATTCCCATCCCACATCCCACGCTGAGGATGCAAATCCTCATCCGGGATTGGGAACAGCTTCAACTCTAAACACCGAGCGGGAGGGAGAAAAAAACCTCATCTCCCTGATCCCAAACCAATTTCCACGATTTCCCCTGGCTGCAGGACCCCCTGGAAGAAGTGCTGCTTCTCGGGGGACGGCGAGTACATCGTGGCGGGCTCGGCGCGGCAGCACGCGCTCTACATCTGGGAAAAGAGCATCGGCAACCTGGTGAAAATCCTGCACGGAACGCGCGGCGAGCTCCTGCTGGACGTGGCAGTACGGAAACCCCCCCGGCTCTCCTCGGGATTTGGGAATGAGGCCCCGTTTTGGCTCATTTTGAGGGGTTTTTTGTGTCCTCTGGTTGGTTGCAGTGGCATCCGGTGCGGCCCATCATCGCCTCTATTTCCAGCGGGGTGGTTTCCATATGGGCTCAGAACCAGGTGGTGAGTGAGGCTTTTGGGATCGTTCCCTTGGGAATGGCGCCTGCCCTGAGGGATTTTGGTTGCTCCATCCCTGGAGTTGGAGCGATCTGGGATAAGGAGAAGTGTGGGGTTGATGATTCCTTCCAGCCCCCAAAGCGTTCCAGGATTCCTGGTGCTGGTTTGGGTGGGATATTGGGGATAAATCCTTCCCAGGGACCGGGAATCCGTGGCTGCCCCATCCCTGGGAGTCCCCGAGGCAACCTGGGATCATGGAAAGTGTCCCAGCCCACGGCAGGGGTGGGAATGGGATGATCCTTAAGATCTTCCAACCCAAACCATTCCACGATTCCATAAAGACTCCCAGTTTCAGCATTCCTGACTCATTCCCAGCTTTGGGAATTTGGGAATTCCCAAATTCCCAGAGAATCCATGGCTGCCCCATCCCTGGGAGTGTCCCAGGCCAGGCTGGGGCACCCTGGGATGGGGAAATGTCCCTGCCCATGGAATGGGATGGGATTGAAGCTCCCTTTCCACCCAAACCAGTCTGGAATTCCATCATTCCATCATTCCCCACGGACTCAATTTTTGTGTGTTTAAATCCTTGAGGAATTCCTGTTCCAACACATTTTTGGCTTTTCCTGCTTCATTTTAATTTGGAATTTTGAGCTCAAAACTCCAGCTCAGCTTTGGATTAATCCTTAAACTCCATCCCAGGGACGTTTTCCATGGAATTCCCCCCTCCTTTAATTCCAGGATGTGAACCCTCAGCTGGGGTTTGCGATGTCCACTGCAATATTTAAGGAATATTTTGATGCTGGATTTTCACTGGAATTCATTTATCCAGCCTCTTATTTTCCATGGACCTAAAGGAGGTTGGATTTTCCATGCATTTATGGGATTTTTCCTTGATTTTTGGTGCTTTTATGGGATTTCAGTGAGATAGTAGAACTGAGTAATTCCGGTTGGAAAAACCTTCCCAGCTCACCAATTCCAGCCATTCCCAGTTCACCAATTCCAGCCATTCCCAACTCTCCAATTCCAGCCATTCCCAACTCAACCAATTCCAGCCATTCCCAACTCGCCTTTCCCAATTCTCCAATTCCAGCCATTCCCAACTCAACCAATTCCAGCCATTCCCAGTTCACCAATTCCAGCCATTCCCAGTTCACCCATTCCAGCCATTCCCAACTCCCCAATTCCAGCCATTCCCAACTCCCCAGTCCCAGCCATTCCCAACTCTCCAATTCCAGCCATTCCCAACTCACCAATTCCAGCCATTCCCAACTCTCCAATTCCAGCCATTCCCAACTCCCCAGTTCCAGCCATTCCCAACTCCCCAGTCCCAGCCATTCCCAACTCGCCAATTCCAGCCATTCCCAGTTCACCCATTCCAGCCATTCCCAGCTCACCAATCCCAGCCATTCCCAGTTCACCAATCCCATCCATTCCCAACTCAACCAATTCCAGCCATTCCCAACTCTCTCCCTTATCCCCAGATGCCAGATCCATTTTTTAAACCCTCTCCAGGATATTTAATTCCTTGGAATTTGCGGGATCCAAGGAATCCACTGCTGTTCAGACCAAAACTGCTTTTTTTTTGCCGTTTTTCCCAGGAAAACTGGAGCGCTTTTGCCCCCGATTTCAAGGAGCTGGATGAAAACGTGGAATACGAGGAGCGGGAATCGGAATTCGACATCGAGGACGAGGATAAGAGCGAGCCAGAGCAGACAGGTGCTGCCCCAAACCATTCCCAGGGAATTCCCAGGGAATTCCCAGCTTTCCCTGGGATCCTTTGGATCCCTCTTGGCCACGTGGTGGTGCCCAAAAACAAGGAAAAAAAAGATCTTGTGAAGTGAAAAACGATGGGAATAAGGATTTTTCCTGGCTCTCCTTTTTGCAGACTTTAGTGCTTCCCAGAATTTAATTAATTGGATTTTAGCAAATTAAATTAAATTGTATTTTCTGTTTTAATAGGAATTATTTTAGTTGTTTTTTTTTTTCAATGAGAAATATTAAATTTTGTATTTTGCTTTAATGGGAAATATTTTATTTCTAAATAAAATAGAAATAAAATTTAAATTAAAATTCCCATTCTGCTTTAATAGGAAATATTTAAATTTGTTTTATGCTTTAATACAAATTATTTCAGGGGGTTTTTTTTGCTTTAATAGGAAATATTTTAGATTTGTTTCACGCTTTAATACAAATTATTTCAGGTTTTTTTTGCTTTAATAAGAAATATTTTAGATTTGTTTTATGCTTTAATACAAATAATTTAAATTAATTTTTTTCTGCTTTAATAAGAAATATTTTGGATTTGTTTCATCCTTTAATACAAATAATTTTAATTATTTTTCTTCTGCTTTCATAAGAAATATTTAAATCTATTTTATGCTTTAATACAGATTATTTCAGGCTCTTTAAGTGGAAATATTTCAGTGGGTTTTTCCCTGCTGCAATAACAATTACCCCAGGTTATTTTCTGCTGTAGCAAGAACCGCTCCAGGAGGTTTTCCTGCCTTTAATTCCCGTTTTTCCGGGCCCCAGGTGCCGATGCTGCAGAAGATGAGGAGGTGGACGTGACCAGCGTGGATCCCATCGCCGCCTTCTGCAGCAGGTGTGGAGCCCCTGGGCCAAAAACCTCATTAACGGGGATTAATTAACCTCTGTGGAGCATTCCCAGCACTGCCCTTAAATATTCCTGTTGCAAAACCCGGAATTCCCGTTATAGCCACAACATTCCCATTATAACCCCAAAATTCCATTTATAACCTCAAAATTCCCTTTATAAACCACAAAATTCCCTTTATGAACCCCAAAATTCCATTTATAACCCCAAAATTTCCTCTATAAACCCCAAAATTCCCTTCATAAACCCCACCATCCATTCCAAACCCCACCACCCATTCCAAACCCCAAAATTCCCATTCCAAACCCCAAAATTCCCTCTATAAACCCAAAATTCCCTTTATAAACCCCAAAATTCCCTTTATAAACCCCAAAATTCCCATTATAACCCCACCGCCCCCATTCCAATCCCCACCACCCATTCCAAACCCCATTGCCAACCCCACCAACGCCAATTCCCGACATTCCCGGCGTTTCTCTGGGCGCAGCGACGAGGAGCTGGAGGATTCCCGGGCGCTGCTCTACCTTCCCATCGCTCCGGAGGTGGAGGATCCCGAGGAGAATCCCTACGGGCCGCCCCCGGACGCGCTGCCCAGCGCGCTGCCCGACGAGGGGCTGGGCCCCGAGAAGAAGCGCCCCAGCTCCTCGGACGGGCCCCAGAACCCCAAGAAAAAACCCAAAACCACCAACATCGAGCTCCAGGGAGTCCCCAACGACGGTGGGTGGCGGATTCCCGGGATTCGGGGGTGGATTATTCCCGGGATTCAGGGGTGGATTATTCCCGGGATTCGGGGGTGGATTATTCCTGGGATTCGGGGGCCTGCGGAGCCCGTCCCAAGGGATTTGGGAGGGATCCAATCCCAAGGGTTTTGGGGTTTGGGAAAGATCCAGTCCCAAGGGTTTTGGGATTTGAGAGAGAGCCCATCCCAAGGGATTGGGAGGGATCCGATCCCAAGGGTTTTGGGGTTTGGGAAGGATCCAGTCCCAAGGGTTTTGGGGTTTGAGAGGGATCCAATTCCAGCAGTTTTGGGGCTTTGGGAAGGATCTAATCCCAGGGGTTCTGGGGCTTTGGGAGGGAGCCCATCCCAAGGGTTTTGGGGTTTGGGAAAGATCCAGTCCCAAGGGTCATCCCAAGGGTTTTGGGGTTTGGGAAAGATCCAGTCCCAAGGGTTTTGGGAACTGGGAGGGATCTGATCCCACATTTTGTGGGATATCTCACACAGAATTTTCTTGTGGACACATTTTAAGGCATAAGTCACCCCAAATCCCCATTCCTCCACATTTTAAGGAATAACTCACCCCAAATCCCCATTTCCCCACATTTTAAGGGATAATTGACCCATAATTTAATTCCCCACACATTTGAAGGGATGATTCACCCCAAATCTCTATTCCCCCCACATTTTAAATCACAACTCACCTCAAATCCCCACTCCCCCCACATTTTAAACCACAACTCACCCCCAACTCCACCACGGCCCCCCTTCCATCACCCCTCACCCCAAC